GACTCAACAAGCGTCTTCAGAGCATCAATATCAATTCCAACATATCGGCCCCTGTCATCACAGTTTTTAAGTCACCGGAACGAAATTTTCTGAACCATCGTTGACACTTACGAACGTTCAAAACATTTCCATAAACTTCTTTGATATTCTTTGTGACTACAGAGGCGTTGTTTCCCCTTCTTGTATTCAAACAGCATAACATGCCAAATGTGTGTCTCGTCGTGTGCCATCACTATAAGGGATTAGAGTATACTAAACTTTACACATTATATAGAATACATTAACGTGACGTTTAGGCGGTTCGTTTAACTATTATACGTGATATACTTCTTGTTTTTGTTTTTTTTTGGGGGGGGGTAGTGGAAAGCTCTCCAAAACGCGACATTAATTTCTTGACGACCTAATACAATTAGCACATAAAAGCAGTTGACATGTCTGAAGAAAATTGATTAAGTATCTCTTCGCGGGATTTACTTTCAGAATCAAATTGAAGTTTCCAAGAGAACATATCTTTCAATTATTAGAACTACGGTAGTTTCAACTACGGGGTGTGATTGGTAGAAAATACAAATCAGTGATATCTTGGCTATTGTTATTGGTAGAAAATACAAATCAGTTATATCTTGACTATTGTTATTGGTAGAAAATACAAATCAGTTATATCTTGACTATTGTTATTGGTAGAAAATACAAATCAGTTATATCTTGACTATTGTTATTGGTAGAAAATACAAATCAGTGATATCTTGGCTATTGTTATTCATTGAAAATACAAATCAATGATATCTTGGCTATTGTTATTGGTAGAAAATACAAATAAATGATATCTTGGCTATTGTTATTGGTAGAAAATACAGATAAGTTATATCTTGACTATTGTTATTGGTAGAAAATACAAATCAGTTATATCTTGGCTATTGTAATAAAATACAGATCAGTTATATCTTGACTACTGTTATTAAAACTGGGAACCTTCAACAGAAGTCAGCGTCGTTCCAGCTAACACAACGTGTTAAAAACAAAAGATTAAATGTATTTCTACATGAATGGATGTAAATTCTGTGAAACCTGTGTAAAACAAATAAAAACCCGATGTGCTAATAAGAAGACAATTCAACTCGCGTCTCTCTTAGAGAAACTTTACATACAGGATATATTTTTCAGATATATTGAATATAAAAATCCCGCCATTGGCACAGACATTTGATAGAAGCACTGAAATTACTCATTTAAAACATTAAATTTTTTGAACCTTAGTGTTCTAACAAGCTAATAAGTTAGAACATTTTGCATCTTACAGATAAATTATTTGCCACATTGATTATTTCTGTTCAAGTAATCAGTAACAAAGGCTTATCCCTTTAACTTAGATTTAATTTATCAATTTTGAAGTTTTTTAAGTGAAAGCATGTATAAAATTGACTGTTTATTCGTTTGATAACAATGGCAAACAGTTGATGTTAGAAATTTAAAAATTATGTTTTATTGATGATGTGAAAAGTAGAATGAGTTAAAGTAGATGTATGTGTCACACAAAGACACACAAACAATGAATCTTATTATATAGATTACAACTGCAGACTTAACTGTCACGCACAACTACCGACGAGATTTTTGACTAGTTAAAATATGTTAAAATAGAACAATGTTTTGATGAGTTTCGAAGAAACACCTTTAAAAAAAAACAGTTTGTTTTATTAGGAAAATCGTGTGCTAATCTACATTTAATATTTTATTCTTCCAGCCCCTCTCTCAATTCTAAACCACGAAGTAAACCCGCCATTAGTTGCCAACTGCTCTACCACTGTTCTCACGTGCCAGGTGGACACTCCTGCCCCGGCTGTGGATGTTTGGTGGACATTTCGTGGAGAAAATGCGTCCAAACTACCCAACGTAAATATTGTCACGGATCGTGCAGACGATGGCATATGGCAGCTACAGTTACTTTGTCCCACACCGGAGCATGCCGGGAGTTTTGCATGTAACGCCCAGTCAAGAAACGAGAGCGAGTTAGTCTATCGCAAAGAAGAGACAGTGGACGTGTACGGTAAGTAGTGCTTTTCTTACATAGGTATATATATATATAAAACCATTTGATTTTTCCTAACGTGAAATTATTCTTACTGATATACATATAATAAGGTCTGTTTTGCGAGACCAGTGTGAATATATCACTCTCTAATATTAAATATTCTACAGCAGTATTTTGATTACCACTGAACAAGTTTTTTATAAGTTGAGAAGTTCGAAAGCGCAATGAAAGAGATTCAGATCACGTACTTCAGATCTAATTCATATGCACACGTAAAAGTGTGTAAACAATTCTGTTTTAAGAAGACTTCGTACACCCGTTTTTCATTATAGTGAACTCTACAAAAAGAATGATAATCCCTAGACTTAAACAAAGATTTTAAAAAATTGTGAAGACATTAAGGACTTACGATTACATCTGTATACCTTATTGATAAAGAACTTAACGGTGTCTACTAAAATACAAATTACAAAATAGTTGTAGTTAATTTATTAATATAATGTAGTTGAGAAAGCATATTATAAAATTGTACTTGGTAGGTGTGTGGAACAGCGGTATATCTGCGAACTTACAACGCTAGAAACCGGGTTTCGATACCCATGGTGGGTAGAGCACAAATAGCCCATTTTGTAACTCTGTGTTTAACTTAAACAAATCTCTCTGTTACTTCGTGTATGTGTGTGTGTGTGTTTTATACATATGAGAAAAAAGTAAAACGTTGTTTGAGATTTATTACACTAAGGTATAAATAGAAAGCTCCAGAGAAATAAATCGTTATCTTTATTTATCCCGAATATACGAATAATTTAGAAGCCGCTCTTTCTACGAAATCAATCATTTATCAAGAAAATTTTGAAGAGATTGGCTTCTAATATTTTTTCAAATTGTGTGATACATACTAGTTTTAATGATTTTCTTTAGTTTTAATAATCATTCGCATATAATTTGTTAGCCAACGATGTCGTTATTAATAGTTTATTTCAATCCCTAGTATATTATTAACAACCGTCTTTCACTTTGCTTTGTTTGTTTTTAATTTCGCGCAAAGCTACACGAGGGCTATCTCCGCTAGCCGTCCCTAATTTAGCAGTGTAAGCCTAGGGAAGGCAGCTAGTCATCACCGTCCACCGTCAACTCTTGGGCTACTCTTTTACCAACGAATAGTGAGATTGACCGTTACATTATAACGTCCCCACGGGTGAAAAGGCGAGCGTGTTCGGTATGATGGGGTTTCGAACCCGTGGCCCTCAGATTGCGACTAAAGCGCCCTAACCACCTCTGGCCATGCCGGGCCCTTTTCACTTTGCATACTATAAATACATCCGCATTTAAATTATTGGTAATAATCTTTTGGAAAAACTGACGTTTAAAAATATGTACCAAAACAATGAAAAATTTTAATAATGAGATTTCTTAGATAGGCATTTATTTAAATAAACTTATGAATATATATATATATGCCCCCAGTGGCACAGCGGTATGTCTGCAGACTTACAACGCC